TTTATAGTTTAGGCATTTCTGAACTTTCTGGACTTTTCATTTAAACGTTTTTAAAACATTCCTACGATCGTAATAAACAAGAAAATACCTTTAAAGCATTTTTTTAGGCGCGGAATCCACTTCAAATTACAAAAACATACGGAACTATATTCTCAAAACGCGGAGCACATTTCTTGCCAAGGAAAAATAGCGGAGAGATACAGACCGCGGGTACTACTTTCTCTAGGTCACCTATTTGTGTTGCCAGCTGAACCTAAAAACGTGTACGCACGTTTCGGACGCTGTTTTCCAACAGATTTTGTTGAAACTTTGTAACAATGTAGTTGAATAGTTATACTACGACCCTTATACCTCGAAAAATTGAAAATTAAACAAAAAAATAGTTTTATTGAACTTTAAAAGTAACTGAATTTACGTTACTTTGAAGATTTTTTTGTACTTATACTATTGATTTTTTTGGACATATCGTGTATGAGGGACCTCGAACCAACATTAATCTGTAAGGAAAAAAAGTTTTAGCAATATATCTTTACGAATTCCATCAGGAGCGAGGGACGCCCGAGGCATGTTTTCAATGTTTTTCGCAGGGGTGAAGAAGACTCTTAATAGCCTCTTAGAAAAAGCGTTGACCTATGATGTGATTGTGGCTTCGTCTTGTGTATTTTCAAAGTTTGAAGGAGATTAAAAGTTAAATTTTATGATCAGGTTTTATGTTATTAGATAATAGTGTATAAAAAGTATTACAGTAAAAACAAACTAAGCAATAATGCATTCAAGTTGTTCATGGTTTAAGGAAAATAAAACAATATATAGCCCGAGGCGAAGTAAAGTGGCGAAGCCAGATTTTTGGATAATCTCTTCACAATTATAGTTCCTTGGTACAATCACTATATTCTGTACAGGTTTGAAAATCCAACATATGTCGTAGAAGGCATTCTCTACTACTTCATTTTCATAATACCAATTACAGTAGGTTTATCGAGTGGGTGGGGGGTACAATTCCAGCCCGTACACAAGTCAAGCTAGCTGTCCAAGAGGGGGTACAATTCCGGGGGGTACAATTCCACCCCGTACACATTTGGCTTTCTGATGGGGGTACAATTCCGGGGGGTACAATTCCAGCCCGTACACAAGCCAAGCTAGCTGTCCAAGAGGGGGTACAATTCCGGGGGGTACAATTCCACCCCGTACACATTTGGCTTTCTGATGGGGGTACAATTCCGGGCCGTACATCTCCTGCACTTTTTAATATCTAATATAATCATCCGCTTCACTGATCACTTGCCCACATTAAATAGATTAGATTTCGTTAAAATCAAAGTGTACGGGGTGGAATTGTACCCCCTCTAAGCGTGACGTCAAAATGACGTCAACGATCGCCGGGGGGGTAAAATTCCAGGGGGGTACAATTCCGGCGACCCCTCCAAGATTGGTCGGGCTAGGGATTTGTATAGCGTGACACGAGTGCCATGGGAGATTTGAAAGATCTTGTGGAGCGATGGATAAACCCCAGCAGAGAAGAGACTCTTGAGGACTACATCGGAAACAGAAGAGAGGAGATATTAGATGAGTGGCAAATGCGTTGGGAGCAGAGTGTTTTATGTTAACGTTTTAAAGGTAAACTTTCGGATATATACCTAACATCAGAAAGAGACTAGAACAAGATTGGGAGATGGGCCATTATGAAATATAGTTTGTCACAGCACATGGAAAATTTCAAGGCGAATTTCACTTGGTGGAAGAGGAAGTATGAAGATGTGGAGAAATAAAAACCACGAGTCACGTATTTATGAATTGTTTACTTCAGGAGACAAATAGGTTTTTAAAAACGCCAGTAATACTTAGCAATTGCTCGAATTCGAGCAACAGGTACACTAGTTATATTTAAACTAGCAACAGTGCCCGTTGTGGTTAAATACAACGGTCCTAGTAAAATAATGGTTATGAAATCCATACACCACTTTACTCACTAATATTAATGATACAGATTAAGCACATAACATTAGAATCACACGCTTAACATGCATACTGGTAAACAAATTTTTGCCATCTATAACAATTATTGGGTTTTCTTTTCCTAGTCGGGTTAGTTCTTCTACCCGACCAATTTTCATAATTTTGGCCTTAAACTAAAGGTTTGGACGCACCACAGATTTGCCATCAAGCATCGGCATTCATTTTGACGTATATTTCGAGTTATGCACAAAATGCGTCCCTGTACATTTCTTATTGGAGTTCAATTTGTTTTTTTTAGATCGTTATTTCATACGTCTTGGTCTTAAAATACTTCAAAGGCTTTCACTTGAGATATTGATAGTTTTAATCAGTAAAGTTCAAGATACTGTATCACTCAATCAGAAAATATAAATCTGATTATATCTTGGATGTGGAATATATTTACTTAATTCTAATAACGTTACCTATTCTATTTATTTTGATCTAAGAACCTTCAGTGAAATACCGAAATACCAGCTTTCCCGAGCTGGATTGCCACTCGCCAGAATACTCTGTTTACATAAAAATTAATCCATTCTGTCAGACAGCTAATTTAAATCAAGGAACGATATTTGGTTCATTAAGTGATAAATTTTATTTCTATGATGGATGTTATCAATTGCTTTGAATTGTTGAATAGTGTCTCTGAGACTCGTCCATTTGTATAATCGGAAGCCCGTGTTGGTTACATGAGTGTAGACATATGACTTGTTAAAAACTAATAAACACCCTTAATATTTTTCCCATGAAAATGTAAAACCATTGTTTGTCTATTTATCGGCTTCTCAAAAATTGTGTAACATATTTTAAGTACCTATATGTTTATGCAAAGGGTGTAACTGTTTGGGGCACAGGTTCTGAGACAGCAACCCGTTATTAGAATTAAAACACAACATAGTTTTCTAAACAAGTGACAAAAACACGTGAATGCACCGATGGATTTTCAAGAACTTTAGCTGAAATAAAGGACAAATAAAGCCTTAGAATATAATTCAACTAACTGTGTGTCCTCTAGATGCGTTTAATGACTTCAAAATAACACATTTTAGGATAGTGTCTAAATGTCTCGGTCTATGCTCTAGTTTCAGGAGGTAAATGCAGCAATTACAATTTAGTAATTCTGATCCTTCGTCAGGTAATTCAGTGTTAAGAGAGAGCTATAATGCGCAGTAGGCGGCTCTAGCACCATTACAGCTACATAGTAATTACTAACAATTCTAGTAATTGGACAAATTAAGTTACCCGAGTCACTTGTTGTTTGTGTAGTGTAACGTTACTTCAGGTTTGTTTACCTTTTTGTAGATTTAGTACTAAAAACATTGAATTGAGTATAGTTCAAGTTGTCATCATATTGTAGATAAAGCTTTTTTTTTAATTTTAAAACTTTTTTCTTCGTATCAAATAACAAATTAGGTCCGAATTTTTAAAACTCAAATATGTAACAACTCGAGCCCACGCACAACTCCTTTCCATTACATTAATTTTTAACTAGCCTAAGCAAGCACATTTCAATTAAGTTAAGTTTATACTATTAATAACTATTTTAAATTAATTTAACGTAAAAAATGTATGCAATGCTTCTAGACAATCGTTGTATTTTATTTTTTGATTTTTTAAAATTGGTTTGTACACAATTGTGGAAATAAACTGATTTGATTTGATTTGTAAAGTCTGAAGTTGTAGAAAGATCACTTGAGTGCGCGATGATGGCGATGAAATGTTTTATACCATGTTTAAGGATAGATTTTAAAATTTGTGCTTTACGTTTTTCGGTTGTAATACCATTACCAGAGATCAAGTAATGGTTTAAAAAGTTTTAGTTTAACCAAACCCGTTTTCAGTTGCTTGGAAAAAATAATAAATACCAAAACGGTCTTTATGTAACAAGAAAAAAATCTCGGACTTAAGCTATTAAAGAATGACAATATCTACTAGAGATTGTAATAGTTCAGAAAAACATTTGGCGAAGGAAAATCTTTAACGTTGTACTTAATTTAATAGCACAACCGAATGTAGAAAAAACTGATAACTCGGTTGTTTGTCATCCGATTTCAACAAAGGCCTCAATTTGATTTCTATTTTAATTTTCTATCTTTTTTATGTTAAGACAATTTTCTTAATATTAAAGGTTTTCATTAAACTTGACATTATATTTTATAAATGCCCGCCATATTGGAACGGCTCGAGATTAAAAGTTTTACGTCTTTTTACCTTTTACACTACACATTTATACAAATTTGGAAATTTAAATCTTGATAAATTCCCAAGATATAATGATTTAAAATCACAAACAGACTGACAAACAGAAACCCAGGCATACTGTAATAGGCCCATTCTTATATGGCATTTTATGTTTATTTATTTATTTCCAACGGCGAATAACCAATACTTATAGAAGCATGATGCAACATGGCTACATACAAAGAATATACAAAAATATACAGAAAATACAAATACAGAAATACAAATACTGAAATGTTCAGAAATACACTTAAGAAATGCAGATACTGAAATACAAATACAGTAGTATGTTTGTCTTAGCCCGTAACAAGTCCACAAAATATGTCCAGATAATTTGGAAACATGTTGTACAAAGCTTACATTTTTTACATACATTTTTTATGTCCACTTAAGAGGAGAGACATTTTTAATTAGGTTTTATTGTTTTGTGCTTTAATTTTTATTAATTTATATAACACATCGTATAACCTATAGTAAAATAACTTAAACCAAACATTTTTTCCTTAACATATCTTGTTACTAACTTTATATTCCAAATAAGCTGTAAAATTCAAGAACGAGATATATATTATATACAAAATAATAGTATGAGAAACGTTCTACAATCAATGCTTCATAGCCAATGAATACGATTTAGCAATAGCATTTTGCTCCTCTATGAGTTTTTTTTTCTATTGTCGTTGGGAACCATGTGACGTGGGAGGACTGGGCTGGAGTGGCCGAGTGGAGTGCAGTGGAGTGAGTGAATGTGCGTGCGAGCTAGACAGACAGACGACGAAACGACGAAAGTCAAAGTTGTAAACTTAACCTAGAATAGAAGTTAGAAACTGAGGGAAAGAAACAAACAAGAATCAACAATGAAGTCTTTTAAATAAAATTCATGTATCTCTTTACTTGATAACAATTACATTGATAACTACGGGGAAATTGGTACATTTTAAGAATCTTTGTTTACTATGGCAGACGGAGAAAGAGGCCGGGACTCTCGGAGAAAGAAATTTTATCCTAACAGGGTAAGGGATGACTTTTTTATGCAGTAAATGGTTACTGTTAGTGTTATGAAAATCATTCTGGGTACAGTTTCTTAACTGGGCTATGCTAATCTCTTCCTTTTAGGTCGTCTAAGGGGTCTAGGCTATTCGTGTCTCTTAGATAATAGTTATTGTTACCGTATTCATAATCCAGTAAAAAGGCCTACAGAACAGAAAGTATAGGATGGATGTAAGTATAGGCCTAACAGTTTCTGCAATAATTTCACTAGGCCTATAGTATTTTAATAATTTTGTAGGTAAGCTTATTCCTAACTTAATTATAATTTAAAAGAAAGATTTACTCAACATTCTCAAACAAGGTTAATTAGGTTTATTAACAGTATACGTTTAGGTAATTAGGTAATGACTAATAAGTTGGTTAAAAGACCCAAACAAAATAACAATCTTGGCATTGTGTTTCGTATGTGGACTGCCAGTGTTCTTTTTTTTATGGAATGGACATATTAGTTTCAGTTTTATTGTAGGCTAGACCTATAGTGAAAAAAACCTAAAGGCCCTAAGTAGTCTGGAATGAATCTTTGAATCTTTTAAACAAATCCCGTATTTCATCACTTTATAAGTTAATCCCTAATAGTGATAGGTAACTTATATTGTAGACCTATTGTGTTTTCTGCATCGAGGCATATCTGGCTTGCCAGGATGCAGAAAACACTATAGGCCAATAATATAAGTTACACAATTATATCACAATTAGGGTTGAATTACTGAGGGGATTGCAAGTCCATTTAATTGATTTTCTTCTGCCTATATCTTTTATTTCAGAGCAAAGATCACCATTACCGTCTCTAGATTTTTGGGTAGGCTAATTTTTTATATTAACTTATGTCCGGGTTTTTTTTTTTTTAGGAAAGAGAAGAGAAAAACTACGGATCCAGAAGGTTGCCTATAATCTTGACCAAACCAGATGGAGATAAAGAAGCTAAAGGTGGAAAAAATAAACCCCAAGAAAATGCTGAAAAACCTCTTTCACAACCAACAATAATCCTAAGTACCAGAGATGGGGACAATCGAGCTGTTTCTCCTAGTCAGAGATCTGCCAGGTAATAGGGTATTTTGTATAACTAGTGTCATAGAGGCTTCTTTATGCAGAGTGTGGTAGGCCTAATAATGTGTTATTTGTTGTAGGATTACCAGGAAAAAATTTAAATTAGGCCTATTATGAATTCACCAAGATAACCTGATTTTAGTGTTACAGTATTTTGTTGGAATAAATTGAATGAATATAAGAATTTTTAGAATATTTCAGCACCCAGTGATGTATAGTACTTGCTTGACTAAACGTGGACGAAACACCGTCATCACATTTTAAAACTTAGGCCTACTGTTACAACAATTTGAAGATCGTCCGTGATCCGGTAAAATTCTGATCATCTTCTGAGGTCTCGGGAAAATCTTCATCAAATACCTGTCACGGTCACGGCAAAATTTGATACAATGTGTGCGGTCACAGTGAAATTGTGAACTTCTTCCGCAGTTCCACCAAAATTGAGAACATTCTCTGCGGTCATGCTGATATTGAGTAGGTACGGTACCGCACATCCTCCACGGTCATGGTGAAATCGTAATCATTTTCATGTGGTTACAACAAAATCGTTAACATATTAGAAACTGATGGCAAGATTGAGAACATCATCTGTGGTGATGGAACAATTAATTGACATCTACCTTGGTCTCAGCAAAACGCTGAATATCTTCCATTGTAAAATCAAGATCATCTTCCACGGTCATAGCAAAATCGAGAACATTTTTGACATCATTATTTACCATTATCGTGGTAAAATTGTGAACCTCATCCGCAGTTATTGCGATAATATCGTCAAGTTTAGTCGTGCATCTTCACAAACAATTCTGAAAGTAGATGCTCAGGTTGGCTCGACTCAACCAATGGTTGAGCTTGACCCGATAATCATTTTTAATCTCTCGGGGCCTAACGATTTCTCAGAACAAATTTTGGGCCAACCGCAGGTCCATCCCGTCCCTATTGATCAATAAAGCTTGAATTTGCTATCTTCGATTTTCTTTTTTGTAGGCCTACACTTAGGAGTCACTTTTTGGATTCAGTCTTAAAAAAAACTGTAGGCCAAGTAGACATTTAAAAGTTTTATATTTATCGATTATGCTAGCTAGGCCTATATTTAACTTTTACTGTTAATTTAATTAGGACAGCCAAAAATAAATTTGGCTAATCTAGGTCAATAGGCCTATGTAAATTTTGAGAATATTTAAAATCTCAAATTCAGCTTTCTATGTTTAGGCCTACTTAAAATCCCATATTACTTTCAGACTTCTAGTTGCGATGTTCACTTAAAAACTGCATTAGGGGGATTACCCCACTATTTTTTCCTATTCTAACTAGCCTTAGTACATTTTGTTGTCAGAGGTGAAAAGAAGAATGAAACTCCAGCACCTCTATATCACCTGGCTCCAAAAACTTCCAGCTCAGAAAGTAAGCATCAATTTAATTTGTTAATTCTTTTTTTCCAAATCTGATAAACGTTGGTAAAGATGTTAGTCATTCAATATGGTGTGTCCCAGATTTTGATCTTACAACATCTATTTCTCTTAGCGAATTTCGGTTAAAAAATTACAAACAAATCCTGCAACAGTGATAAACTTATCACACGCAAAGGTAAGAATACTGGAAAATTGAAACATTTATTTCATGTCGACAACATTTTTCCTGTCTGAAGTATGTGTCAAGTGAAACTAACCTATGTTATCAAAGCGTAACTTAAATAAGCTTACTAGCTTAAGAATTGGAGATTCTGATTCATGAAAACAATTTGAACCTATTTCAATTCAATCCAACCTAACTACCATATGACCTTTTCTGTATCAGCTTATGTTTTATGTTTGTCAAGATACAAACGCTCTTGCCCTGCCTCCCGAGATGACGTCCTCTGTGAAACTCATCAATGATCAGTTCCAAATGCTCGATTCCTGCTTGGAATTCCTCACTGACCAGACAGACTTCATCGTGATTGGCTGCGTCGGCCCCCAGGGTGCAGGGAAATCTACCCTAATGTCCCATCTCGCTGGTTCGTCACCTGGCCAACTTGCCAAATAAGTTTTATATTTTTTTTTTGTTAAATTTCCAAACAACTGATCAATTATCTGGGTAGGTGAGAGGTTAGTGTCAGTTCAAACCCTACTTTAATCTACCGTCGTCCTTTTGTTAGAGAGCAGAATCAATAGCACAATGACAAATGGCATCTGGCTCCAGTTATGATCTCGCCTGGAATCAACCCAGTGGTCTTCAGATTATCTCTCTGCATAAGAAAAAGTTTAATAGATTGAGTATTTAGTCCCGTCTCAGTCAAGTCTTGTGTGTACCGTCTGAAGGGAGCGAAACTGACTGAGCTGCTTTGGTAAAAAAAGGACATTTGAAATGAACAGTTTAAATTGCCAGGGGTTCTTTGTGTGTCACACTCAAATCAGACTCTTTGCTAGTTTTTTTCTTATAACTTTGTGTGTTTGTCCAGGCTAAAAGATTTTGTGAAATTTAAATTTATATTTTTATTGTAGTAAGAATAGTAAAAACATAAGAAATAGACATAATTAATTCACAGAATAATCTATGTAGTCCATCTAGGTACACCCAGCCTAGTTTTATTTACAGGTTGAAATGAAAAGTGAGCTATTGTGGGTCTCGTAATTTGATGGGTGCTTACAGGTAAAAATCTCATCCTCTAGTAAGTTTTTTCCATACTTGTTTGTAAGTAATAAGTAGCTAAATTTGTTGCAATATCAAATATTGACATTTTTTCCAGCACAATTTTCAACACCCAGTCTCTGAGTGACCAAATTAAGGGGAACCACTGCACAGATGGGGTTGATTTCTACATTTCCCCAGACAGAGTCATTTACTTGGATTGTCAACCCATCCTCTCACATTCTACGTCTTTGGACATTAACTTATTGGTAAGCTTAAAAAAACTTTGTATTTTTTACAATGAGCATGCTGAACGTCTGAGTGTCTTTAAGTATAGTACCTCATCCTATGGTTAGGCCCTAAATTTCTTCCAAAAGTAAAAGTAATGTTGCATCTTCAAATGTAAAAGTGATAAATAACCACCAGTAGGAAGTATGTTTTTTGTTTATTAATAACAAATTTGGCCTTTCTTAAAGTTGTTTGCAAATGATTGGTCTTTTGTCATTCTTAACAATTCATACACGTTTACTGCTTTTAATTACATTTAAGAAAAATTAGAAAGGCCAACATTTAGGCCTATTTCATTTCATAAAACAACCCTTTTCAATCTTAGAGCAAGGGTTTCTGTATTCTGAAAATCAGTCCAGATCCCTCTTTTCTGTGGACATGATTGGATTAAAATTTGCTCAGTCAGACCAGTCGACATTGTGTCAACATTCAGTTTAATGTTTCAGAAAATACCGTCATCGTCACAGAGTTATATGGACTCTATGTTTTTTGAGAATCTATCAAGTGTGTTGTCTCTACAGCTGACTGCCTTTCTAATGTCCGTCTGTCATGTTGTGTTGTTCGTACAAGATACTTTCAACAACCCCAACCACATCGGGTGAGTGTTAGCATTGTGAATTACAGTTAGTGGTTGTCGGAGGTCAGATCCAAAATTGTTTGATTGTGATGCGGAGATGCTGACTTGATTCTCGATTACAGATACAATTTTGGTACCAGATTAAATTAAAATACACCTTAAGCGATTCGGGTAATTTTCATTCTGGTTTTGTGGGATTTAAATTTAAAAGTTGTAAAATAGTGGTAGGTAGGTATTTTAGTTTTAGCGAATTTCCCATATAGGGAATAAGCTATTACCGTAGTACTCATGGTAAGACCTGGACCCGGGACCGATTTTTTTTTTCGTTTTGAGGTCCCTAGAGGCCAAAAACACCATCCGTTCAAATTCATATATATATATATATATATTTATATATATATATTTATATATATATATATATATATATATTTATATATATATATATATTTATATATATATATATTTATATATATATATATTTATATATATATGTGTCCGTTAGCGCGATAACTCGAGCAAAAATGATCCGATTTTGATTAAATTTGGTACAAACGTGTAAACCTACGTTTATTCGAACGAGTTCGTGAACCAGCATGATCGGACCATGGGAACGGGGGTTTATGGGGGGTTTTATGGGGTAAAAATGGGTTTTTCCCATTTTTGACCCAAAAAACATCAAATTTTGCAATTTCTTTCTAAACTATTTTGTAGAGCTTAAAAAAACAAATAATTTAGTTTATTGAAGCGTTATAATGCGCCTAATGGTTACGGAGAAAATTCCAAAAAATTGCAAATTTAAAATTCCCATGTTATTCTTATGGAGAATAAGTAAACTGTTGTAGTTTGCTTGTTTATTAACATATTTTGCCCAAATTTGGAACATGTTTTTATTTCTTACTAACAATTAACATTTTACATAAAAAACACTTTTACCCTCCCTGTTGCAGCAAACCTAAGTATGTGTTAAACTGATTCTATTTAAATAGGGATAAATGTGATATTTTTAAGGAGACATTTTAGTGTAAATCCAATCAGGCAAATGGAAATTCGCTTAGTCTGCAGGTTTGCTGCGGCGGGGGTATTTTTTTTGTTGTCATGGGATTTTATAATATAAGCGTTTAAAAGGGTAGTAGGCCTACTTCTGCACAGTTTGCATGATTCGTTAAACAGAGGATTTAAACAGTTAATAGCTTTTGTTCGGATTATTTTTACAAAATACAAACTGAGTTATTATTTTATGAGTTTATTATATTAAATATTACCATATTTATTATAAACAGGCGCTCGCCAATGGCGGGTGAACCGAATCAGCCAGCACAATTGGCATTCAAATATTTCAAACTGACGAATCACAAAAGAGCAGCGGTGATTGTGCTGCGTTACCCTGAGAGTAGACGTAGTTCACTGAAACACCCAAAAGTAACAGCACTGCCTGGATCCGTAGCCAGTGTCTTTTTAATGTGGGTCGAAGAGAGAAAATCCCCGAGACCGGGAAAAAAGCATTGCCAGACGGGATTTTACAGGAAATTTTAGTATCAACCTAAACCAAAATAAAGCTCGCATTCTAAGCTACAGGCTGGCAACGATTATAATGTTCACCGGCAATGGCTGAGCTCACACTGACTCTCTGTATTTCAGGTGGTCGGCCGCGCCATCTGGAAGCGTTAGTGACACCGACTAAAGTCGGCAGTTAACAAAGTTATGGATGTTTTTGATTTGCACTGTCTGAAAAAATTATCCTTCACAATAGTGAAGTTATAAAACATAGTCCCATTACTGTTCTGCTGTGTCCAGATTTCTCCACACAGCCGCCATGTTGAAGCCCCCCACCAACACATCTGCAGAGGACTGTCTGGTGGAATACTTCCCTCAGATCATGTTCGTCCACACTCACTGCAGCTCGGAAGACTTCTCTTTACCCAGGGTCAAACTTATACAGGTTGTAAACCGTCAACATAATCTAAATAAAACTTAAGCTAAAATCCATACATTCTCTTGGAAGACTAATTTGAAAATCTTCAAGCGATGATGAAAAAGTGTAGACAGCTTAAAAAGTCTGGAGTTGTATGAGTGACTTGAATAATTAATTGGACATTACATCCATGGACCAGCTGTACCCAATTTTTTTACTAAAAATGAACACTGATGAATGAGCCCTTAGTATTTGTTATGGTTAAAGTTATGGTACTAAAAATGTCATAGTTTACAATAAGGGGTGCCATTTTAGTTTGCCTTAGTTAAAAATCTGATAACTGAGAACTGGAGATGGATTTGATAAATTATTTAAAAAAATCACACCCATCACCCATTTTGTCTTAGGAGTGCTACTCCATTATTGTCTCATGTTATCTTAATTCACAAAACACAGTCCTTTCTTATATCTAAAACTGTAAAGATGTCTAATCTTTCAATGTTTTGTAGGACTGGTACAGCAAAGCCTTCAGCAAGTCTATGCTGCAGATTCATAGTGGTATTGGGATTGCTAATGGAGGAGTGATTGATGCTCTCACTCCCACCTCACTGGACCAGGAGCCGTTGAATCTGTTCCTGTTGCCATCTCTGGTTGACGAGGGTAAGCTCGGAACAGCTGTTGGAACAGCTTTATCTCACTATCAGCTGTTTTCGATTCAATCGTAAGAGTTCAGTTGTGCTCAGGATGTAAGCCAGGAGCGAGAGAATCTAACCTCTATGATTAACAAATCAAATCACTCTCCTGTTTTAGTTTACAGAAAGCTACAATCACTGCATTGACTTAAAATTATTCATTATTTCCAAACAGTCAACCCTAATTTGGTTGAGGGTGACCACCATTGGTGTGAGCGGTGAGCGACGGTAAGCGGTGTCGCTCAGCAGTGCTCATGATTCAAAGTCCAGACCAATTTTTACAAACTACTCTGGCTACTCAGATGATTGATACCATTTTGAGAGCTAATAAATAAACAAAGTACTTATTTTAGTTTTGTGAGCTAATAAGCTTAAAGAATGGTGCAGTTGCAGTAAGACACAAAATAATATGTTCATTTCATAGACCAGAATGTTTGACACAAGCTGTTGATTAATAACCAAGGCAAAGCCAGGGTAGTGAAATGAGTAAATCACGTTTAAGCTCTATTGATAAACAAATATAGGTACTATTCCTGTCCTGGTAATTTGTTGACTGTTAAGAACCTTTAATGAATATGTTTCCATTGCCTTTTAATATTGAGAGGTTTTTTTTCAGAACCTAATGGCCATTTTCAAGGTCACCCGGGATATGAGGATCTGCTTATCAAGATGAAACAACAACTCACTGGCATCACAACGTATCAGCTGTCTACCACTCAACTCTTGTAGAAAAATTGGTAATTTTTCTTAGAATATTCTATTGACTATTAGTAGGGTAATACAGTATAATTAGGAAAAAACGGCCTAACCTCAACATCCAAAGAGAAAGATAACTTTCAACTCCGAACTATTGGATACAGCCCTCGTAATGTATGGTGAAAAGTTCACCCTTTTGAGCCGCAGGTTTAGGGGGAAGTGGGCTAAAAGTTTAAAAATTAGTTGCTTTTGGTCTTTATGGAATAATTCAAAAACTGGGCAGATTACAGTACTGTTACAAAGGTAAAAAATTTATATTTTTCAAACATTTTGAATGCCGTAATAGAATATTATCTTACTAGTCCTGAAAATAGGATGAATGTGGTCATTCCAACACGAGACGTAGTCGAGTGCGGGATTACCATACGGGTCTGGTGAACACATTTTGGACGAGTGGCATATAATATTCTACGCCATACTACTCTAAGATAACTTAACAATAAAAGAATCGGTAGTAATCCCTATTCCCACCGACTAAAGGACCGACAATCACTACTCATAACCTCTAAGTGAGGTTATGTTTTTGTTAATAACCACTCTTTGCCAAATATAATCAGCTGGTTGGTGTCCGGTAAAAAGTCATTACGGTACAGTTTTATTTATTTCATGACATTATGTCATTTGACAGGACATAGAGTCATATACAGGATAACTAAAACTAAAACAGTAGCACGTAATGAAGCCCCATTTGATTAAGCTGGCGGCAAACAGCTGTTTTCTGCACTAAATCCTTGCGTGGGAAGTTTGTTAAAACAGTGTAGTGGTGGTAAAAAAATATGACTTAGTTAGTATGGGAACTATTTTTTTCTAGGATAATGTTTTTGTGTTTTATAAAGGTGAATTGTGATTTCCTCGAATGTTAGTGAAAAGTCCTTTGACAACCTCACTAGGACTCACCTCTTTCTCAATTCAATGGGTACTACTTTCTTATGAAAAAGAACATTCCAAAGGCCAAAATTTGTTTCCTATGTAACCTGAATAATGAATATACAAAACTTCAGCATCCTAGCTAATGGAAATTGGAACATTAGCTATGATTGAGCGAGTCAGTCAATGAAGGCTTTGACTTTTATAATACCTATATGTTTAGATTATTGGTAATTAATGCCAAATTTGGTACATTTTACACAATTATATGGTTCAATTTTGTTGTAGGTTTCACTACGCAATGAAAGTGTTTGAAAACACCCGGAAGAGTTCATTTCGGAGAATTTTTCGGACAGCCGCATTCTACCTTGAACAGCTGATTGGCACCAGTTGTTTGCAGATTTTGATGTTTTTAACAGCTGATTTCGGAGGTAAAGAGTAGCTCCAAAAACACATCCAAGACAACACAGATGTACGGATATTCCATGTGTTGGCATTGCAGAGGATATTCTAAAATATGTTCAATACAAGTTTTTTTAACCTAGAACTTGTTTCTGGTTTATTGAACGAGGAAGCAATGTTAGAACTTTATGTTGGCAATTGTTTAAGAGAACTTGATTAGTTAAAAACCTCTAATTTACTTAAAAATAGTTTTGTACTATTTGTATTGTATATATTATTTTTATTTTCATTTTACAACTCAAACTAAGTTTGTAACATGTATAATTGTGTTCTGATAAGATTCTCATTTCACAGAATAAATAAACAAGATGTTAATGTTTCATTTTCATAATAATTAAATTTAGTAAAAAAAAATAACATTGTATTTTACTCTCTCAAAATTTATTAAACAGACCTACAAGCATCAGAATAGGTTACCGGTATAATTTATTTACCAAATAAAAGTAAACTGTAATGATAAAGGAAGGAAGGAAGTAAAGAATCCCATTTTGGTTGATTGATATATTACGAGGGCAGAAAATATGGAACGTTTCCATCTGACGTTGATGATCTTGCACTTCCCAGTACACATGTGTTCGCCCCACTCTTTCTCTTGTTCGTAGTTCGTAGTTTGTTTCATTGTCTGTCCAATCGTCCTAGCAGAAGGGCCATTGTGGTGCCCATTGTAGCAATCTTTACATTAAAAATTATAGGGTTTTCTTTTCCGAGACAGTTTGGCTCTTCTACCCGGCCGATTTTCATAATTTTGGTATGCACATATAGATTTGCCATTTAGCTTGATTCATTTATGTACTTTACTACTCGACCAAAAAACATACAATCGTTTTTTTTCAATTCTCACTTCAAATAAATATGTACTTCGCCAGCTTTATTACATTACGCTATATGTTTTGATCTAAGAACCTTCAGTAAAATACCAACTTTCATTTGAGCCATTGATTATTAAGTATCTGAAGCACGCTGCTGAATCAGGAATCAAGAATAAATATAATTATTTTAGAACGTATCTGCAATCAATGATACGTAACTTCATTTTTATTTTAGCTATTTTATGTGTCTTGGTCTTAAAATACTCCTAAAAATAAAGGTATTCATTTGAGATATTGATGAATCAGTTAGGTTCATGATACTATATTACTCAATAATAAACATGTTTTATTACAATTAATGTGAATTTTATTTTGACCTGGGCAACACCAGGTTTTGCTGCTAGTTGAAGTTAAAATAGCTTCGAACTTGTGTTCCACAGTCCTGCCAGTTGTGAGGTGCAGTCTGGCATACCGGTACTGTTTCTGTTGGACATACACTTAAAAGCTATACATATATATTTTTCATCAAGGGTGTGAAGTGTGCAGAAGCAAAGTATTAAAATCAATTATAGATCAAATGGTGCATTCAGTTTCAAAATGACCGAGCTAAAGTTGACGTCCAAAAGTTTTGTTTTTTAAAAATGATGCCCTATCTTACATGTCAAATTAAACGTAGGCCTACACAATTTCCTTCAATCATTAAAATATATTTTCCCCCAACTACCCACCCTACAGTCCAACCCGGCTTTTTTGTCGGCTCCTGGTTATGTAGGAAATTTGTTTTTTAGTTGCTCTTTAAAATGTATGCAACAGAAATTTGTTATGGTACAAAATTTTTATTTTGTTCCAAGATGTTTTTGCTGATCAGCCATTGTATTTTGTATATATCCCCAGACTGGAACGATGGCGTCATCCTGTAATCCATCTACTAGGAGGTTACAAATTGTGGATATTTATAGGCATGCACTGTGGATGTGATTAGGCTCCCTGGTGTGAATTAACGTCCGCACTAGTGAGTACTACGACTATCCGCAGTACTATCCTCATAATTAGACCAATTTGTTAAATACAAGGCAAAAATTTGGTTCGGATTCTACTATAAACTGTAGGTCCCTTAAATGCCATTAGCTGTATGGGCGTTTATAAACAGCTTTGTCTAAGGAACATGTTGGCCTTAGTCGCTAACAAGACTACAAAATCTCGCCACTCATCCTTTACTCATATTTGGGTTTAAATATGATAATTGATATTTATTTTTCCTGGTTAACTCCATTCTCCTGCCTACATTTCTTTCAGTGCCATTCTAAAAGATTGTGTAAAAAAGAAACAGCTTAGTTACAGATGTTTTATTTCTCTTACAACTGTCAAAAATCTGGAGAGTACAAGCTATTATTGACCTATTACAAAATCACGTGAGCAAGTTAGTTAATCTATGTTATCTATATTATAAGAGAATAAGTTCAATAAAAATAGTTGAAGAAATTTTAACTTTTGATTACTACTTTTAATATCTATCAGCTATTCAAGCTAAGCAATAAACATATTTTAGTTTTACATTTCACTTTAAAAAATTATTTTATATAACTTTAACTTTTTGAGACTATAATAGGCTACTACCAACTTTTGTTATTCATCAAATCTCATTAACGTAATCTTATTATTGTGCATTACACATAGTTTTCGAAATACAAATTTCAGTAGCCATGAATTTAATTTAATTGTGTCAACAATCTCTTGACTGAAACATTTGTCTTATTTCACAGCCCGAAAGGTTTTGTTTCAGCAAAGTATTTTCTCATACAATTACCTGTTGTGTTCAAAATTTTGATATTCTTTTAATAATTTACGTTTAAGTGAGCTGTAACATACTTTTTGAGATATTAGTAGACTTGTGAGTAACAACATAACAATTAACATAAATCTAAAATACAATCATATCAAACTTATTTAACACTGTCAATAACTAAAAACTTAATAAAATTCAAAGAAACAAAACATATAACAATCGTGTTAACAGAACAGTAAAATTTTAATTTTTAAAGTAGTCAACTTCCTAAAATAGCAGATTCAATTACTATATTGCTCAAACAAACAAGCCTTGGAACAAATAGTTAACAATACGTTAAGACAATGGCTGAAATTGAACCATTGTATAGTGTGTACCACCATCTACAATATCATTATGATACTGATTTCATACGCGTTCGTTAGTTCAAATAAAACTTTTTTGTTCTGCTATTCATTTTGGAAATATATTATTCATACCTTTTATCCCTACACAAATCTATTACTGTATAACAATTACAATTTATTAAGTCCACATCAAGCGGCACTAGAGGTGTGAAAACTGAGCTTTTACCAAGCCAATCTTAAAAAAAATTGATTTTTCATATTGCAAAATAATAAGTTATCTTGTCACAAATCTTTTAAAATGCTATGTTAAAATCTATTTGACAAACTGTATTTTGTATTCATAAACTTGGTATAATGTACATTTCTCAATACCATCTTCTGCAATTGCAAAAAAATAAAATAAAAAACTCTGGACAGACAGTTGTGTAGAGATCATCATCGTCTCTTTGGATCACAGAGTTAGTCTGGTCGTCATAACTGCGGCGAACGTGAGAAATATTTGACTGCGATCTTCGCAAACATGTAATTACAATGATAAAAGATTTTCTGACTTGGTGCCCAATCTCTCGTGATTGTAGGCTAGGCTAGGCTTGAAAGTCAAGCTGCTTGCACACCTCTAACTTGGACTTAAAATTATCCAATGACTACTGATACACACTCTGAAGTAACGGTTTTCTCCGCAGTTCGACAGGTTTGAAGGAATGTTGATAAACTGAGGCCAGTCTCCAGTGTTCAGGGTAATCTTGGCCCGTCGTCCCGGGCCACAGAGAAAACGGAGGTGCCAGAGTCCCGATGGAGTAACTCTTCTTGGCATAGGGAAGTTTCATCTTCGGAACGTGGACAGGTTTTGAAGATTGCGCTCTGGAAGAAGTGCTGCTTAAATCTTGACTGTTATTCATGCTACTGTTCCCACTACCGTTGTTCGGTTTGCCCGCTTTGAAAGCCATTTTGTACTCAGATTTTGACCTTTTCTCGTCTTTGACTGATTCGGAGGGAGAAGTTTTAGTATCACATGCCATACAGGGTCGGTTGTTCAGCAGTCTATTTTTACTTTTACTGTCGCCGTTGGTTTGTACTCCGATGTTGGCTAGGTTGGGTGAACTTTGATAGTGTTTCTGTTTAGACATCTTATGCGAATCGATATCTGATGATTTCAAAGATTGTTGACCGCTCAAACTTTTTCTTCTCATGTGATCGGACCCGGATGATGTTTTCCTTGTGCCGAGTACGATATTCGGATTATTGTTTTCTTTTGTGTTGTTGTTGATTATATCCATTACTGCTGATGGATTTGACCGCTCTTGTAGTCTCTTTAGTTTGTCTTGTAGTTGCTTCGCTTTTACCTCATCACCCCAAGCTGTCTTTGGTCGAGATCTCGCCCTGTCTGCGCTTTCTCTAGATATCGTCTTTAAACTGTCAACTGAATGTCTCTTCTCCATTTTACCGTCTCCTGTCGAAGGTCTTGGGGTTCTCATATCTTCGTGAGGTGTCGGAGGTTGATGAACCAGAGCAAACACAGCTGGTGCAGCACTTCCGTTGCTTCCGTCAATGTGTGGCGAGCGCTTCGGTTCATCAGAAGGGTGGACAGGTTTAAAGTCCCAACACAAAGCTAGCTCTATTTCTGACATGTGCTCTTTCCGCTTCGGCTGAGATGTTTTTGGACGGACCTGCTCATCGCGAGACTCCCTCCGGTGGATGTTGCCAGCAGTTTTTGGTCTGTACACTTTAAGTTTGCTACACTGTGTTGGAGCTGGTGCCCCGTAACCTTTGACCCCCACAGCTGCGGCTCGAGGCTGGACATTTAGGCCCATGCCAGGGTGCTTTGTTTGCTTCAGCTGCAGTGACCTAATAACCATGAAAACAAAAGTAGTAGTATTTAACAAAACTGTGAGTCTATAGTCATTTCGTTCTTAGGAAGAAAGTTATTTATTGAAAAACTTAGATTCGTTCTTAGTGTGAATAACATCAACATTTTGTTTAGTTAACTCTGTTGCGATCTTCATCCCAACTAATAATTGTTAGTTATATAGACAAGACAATTATTTGTTCTTACTTCTTATCTTGTAGCCTACTTTTAATGTTTATGTATTAATTGCCTGCTAAAATAAGTTTTTTGTCACAGAGCAAATTTACCTTCCCAATCTATGGATTGTTGACAAGGCTTACTGGAATGGGAAAGAGTTCATCCTGCTACAGGAAACACAGTTTATGCTCGATAATAATGTTTCACTAATAAAGTGCAATGTTCATGTTTCTCTGGCCGAATTTAAACTAAAGAAATTCCTACTTGGAGCGATGACCTCAGGTCCTTTGGAAGCAAGAACATTTGACCTAGAGCCAATTTTTTGCGTCTCGCTCAAATGTAAATAAAGTTTATGACTGTTAAAAATTAAAATTATTGTGTATAAACATAAACTGAAATTTGTATTTATTGTGCCAGGAAAATCTCTTTGACTCAGAAGAGTCTGCTATTATAAAATCCTTCAAACAAAAACAAGGCTCTACTTTTCCCATATTTTACTTAATTTACCTTCCCAATCTGTTAAAGGTAACATATTAAATATGGGGGAGCGAGTTGGACTAGGGATAGAGTGCTATACTTCGGTGTCCAAGGTCTGAGGTTCAATCCCCACCAGTCACCAATGGATTTTATCTATGCCATAATGCCACGTCCCTCTAGGCATAGCTTAACGTAATGTGTAAAACAGTTCTGGAGTAGTGCCTGAGGTTCACCTGTACAAGCTGTCCTCAATAGTGTCAGGCAGCGGCTGATGTTTCTGGTTCTCTAGTTTCAAGTTCTTGGCGTGCTCAGCGCTGCAGTAGACACTGGCTAGAGGAGGGCCTCTACAATCCAGCTCGTCTACTTCCACACCGGAGTCATGAGGGGACGAATCCCTGCAATCATTATACCCAGTCACTATAAAACATTAGTACAGTTTCATTCAATAGCCAAATTGCTACCTGTGTAAGTTAAAGCTTAGTTAGCCCTTATAGAACATCTTATGTGTTTGCCACTTGCTTCTAGTTCTGAACAGGTTTAAAACACTTAAAATGTACTATTTACTTCAAATTTTCAAATTTTTAGGTGAGTTAGCTAAACATTGTGTAAATTATGAGAGGGAATGAGAAAGATGAGACAATGGCTCCCAAGACTAACAAAGAGACACACCACTATACGCTAGTGGTATTAAAATTAATCCAATAGCAATACTTGTGTACACAGAATGGAAATGTTTAATTTACCTACGGACTACGTCTTAACTCACATGCGAGTTAGTGGCAATTGGTCCAGTGTCTTTCAATTTTAAGCAAGTGCAGTTTGCAATTTAGAACAAATAATTGATATGACTCACCTCCTCGAGCCGTTATGATCATGATGTTGGTCCTTGTTTACCGGCGAGTGAACATTCTTTGTGTACTCATTAATATCATCCTGTACATTCTGAGACGTGTTGATGACCTTAAATATAAATGTACATGTGTTCAATTCAGAGAAGAAATCAGCACTCCTACAAACTCTATTGTACTATCAAAAATAACATTACTGCTTTAAACTCCTCACTTCTTTCTAACTTTTCCTAGTTTTACTATTATTAACATTAAAATTTAAATTCTTATAAAAGAAGTTCCAATGGACTACACAAACATTTTTAAATGCTCAACCTAAGTGCTGTAAAGATTTCACACATCCTCAACACTTCCTGAGTCCTCTCTGATATAGTTAAGTTACCATTTCCACAGGTGAACTCCTCAGAAGTGGCACATCAGACCTGACCTGAGACAGGATTCTAACACTTGCTCTGCAGGGTTGTCTCCTCCCAAGGAGATCGCTTAACTATTGAACACCTAATGGTTTACTGCTCCAACAATACTAATAAACTCAACACCTTATAGTTCTGGACAAGCTAATTTAAACAATTGACCATTTTGTTTATTGATTTGGATGATAGACAAAGACATCTCATGAAAACAAAAAAATATGATAAGATTACAATCAAAGAAGTTCATCATCGAAGACAGGCCATCTTGACCAAAAGTGGTATATTTTGCACTCCTCTGCGTTGTCAATCATGCACATTGTAATAATAATCATGCAGATTACAAAATCATTCACCTCTAGAGACCTTTCGCGAGCCAGTGAGCGCGAGTAGTCAAGTTCATGATGCTTGTCGATCATTGACGGGTAGAGGATTCAGGCGTCGTAAACTGTCTTGTGGCCTTAACTGATGCTCCGATTGATCCTTATTTGATGACTTCTGAGCAGCATTAAACAATCGTTAATGAGATAAGATTTACTTATCATCTACTTGTCATAATTTTATAAGATAAAAAGTCAATGTTCTTCCTGAGGTAAAAATCTAAGATCACAATGTACTCGTAAATTATAAATCTATGAAAAAGCACTACAAATCCATTTTTTTTTTACATTGTAATGATTTTATTTAATTATTACAATTCTGTATTGTCACATTTTCTGCTCTTTTAAAGCTGTTTTTGTTTTCGGTTTACAAACAATTTCATAGATAAAATTGTATCAAAAATTGATTCACATTTTTCCCAATTTATACTCCTAAATAACAAGGAGGATACAAGTCTTTTGTTACTTTCATTTCTGTTGATGACGAAGCGCTCTGAAAGAAAATGGCACAGTTAGAATAAACTAAAAACTACTAACAGTGGTACGAAATTAAAATAATTTTAAGGTATGGAAAATTAAAGATGTTTCCTAAATATTTCTGTTTTATTTCACTAAATTATTGCACTACAGTCGGGACCACGTAAGTTTGCAGTTGAGGGAGGAGCCTATTTACCATGTAGTTTGAATGAACCAATGAGAACCGCGTGGTGTTGCCAAATCTAATAATACCAGCTGATTTGAAAATATTGCTTGGTATATTTTAATTAGTGGTGTCAACGGTCGATGTGGCAACGTCGCACTAGCCTTGTCTTGTGATTGGCTGCCGCCAACTGTGTAGTGAATAAAATCTACAGTCAATGATAAATACAACTAAACTTAACTCACATGATTAATTATTTAATATGTTTACTGGCATATGTTATTAGTAAATACTCAGATTTGTTTATATTCCATTATTGTTCATAGTTCAGTTTTCAGATGAATAAAACCCTTTATTCTGATTACAATTAATCTGGGGTTTTCTTTCATTACAATTTATTCATCTGAATTATTCAAATGTTAGATTATTTATAATTTAATTTTCCTTACCTCTAACTCTTATACTATGGAAAGATTTCTAAAACCAGATAGATTTGACACTGATCCAAGTTCTCCCAACAGTGCTAAACTTTGGAAACATTTCCTAAAAACATTTGAAAGTTTTGTAAACAAACTTGGAACAAATGAAGAAAGAGTAACTTCAGAAGACAAACTGAACCTTTTAATTAATCATGTTTCCCAACCTATCTTCGAATTCATAACTGAATGTAATACCTATGATGAAGCCATCAAGATTTTGAACAGTATATTTATAAAACCAACAAGTGAAATCTTCGCAAGGTACCAGTTAGCATCACGTAAGCAAAAATCAGGTGAGACTATCAGTGAATACCTACTATCCCTAAAAGTTCTAAGTAAGGAATGTAAATTTTCTGCAGTCACTGCTGAAGAACATAAAAACAACTTTATTCGGGATGTATTTCTTAGTGGAATTTTATCTTCTTCAATAAGACAACGGCTTTTAGAAAATACTCTATCTCTGGAACAAGCTTGTAATCAAGCTCTAGCTTTGGAAGCTGCTCATAATCAGTCAGTCTGCTATTCTAATGTCGATCCTGTTGTAAATGCTACTTCATCTGTAAATTCTGCTTCTGAGAATGATGTGTCACAGCTTTCAGCAACAACCTCTAAATGCTACTTCTGTGGATACGGTAGACATCCACGTGCATCATGTCCAGCTAAAGATGCAGTCTGCAAGAACTGCTCTAAAACAGGCCATTATTCAAAAGTCTGTAGGTCTAATCTCAAAAAGAGTAACAATAAAGCTTCTAACGCCGTTACGACTGATCCAAATGTCGTTGCTACTGTGACAGCAGCTTCACCTTCTTGTTTAAAACGAGCTGTGGTACCAGTCACTGTAGATAATCTTCAAGCCGATGCATTAATAGATACAGGAAGTTCAGAATCTTTTTTAAGTGATGCATTTGTTTCTAAACATAAAATTAGACTTTTCCATAGTTCTGGTAGAGTTTCAATGGCATCCACTTCACTTAGCTCTCAAATTGTTGGGTATTGCATTGTAAATGTAAGGCTTTTAGAACATTCATACATCAAAGCAAGAGTGGCGGTTTTGAAGGATCTATGTGCTGACGTTGTGATAGGTCACGATTTGTTAAAACATCACTCACAAATTCAGATGGATTTTGGAGGACATAAATCACCACTAAACATATGCGCTCTAGCTCATGCTCAAATTGATCCTCCGCCTTTATTCAGCAATCTTACTGAAAACATAAGACCTATAGCGACTAAATCTCGCAAACATTCAATGAATGACAGCCTCTTCATTCGAAGCGAAGTTCAAAAACTTTTGTCGGAAGGAATAATTGAAGAAAGTCGATCACCATGGCGGGCTCAAGCTCTAGTCACAACCAATGAAAACCATAAGAAACGAATGGTTATAGACTATTCTCAAACTATAAACCGCTTTACGCTGCTGGATGCTTATCCACTTCCTAGCATAGAAAGCGTAGTTTCTAAAGTATCAAAATACTCAGTTTTCAGTACCATCGATTTATCTAGTGCGTACCATCAGATTCCTATTAGAGAGGATGAAAAGCAATATACAGCTTTTGAAGGTGATGGTAGACTTTATCAATTCACCAGGATTCCATTTGGGGTCACAAATGGAGTAGCTTGTTTTCAGAGGGTAATTGATGATATCATTCGAACAGAAAATTTAAATGGAACTTTTGCATATCTCGATGACATCACAGTATGAGTGAAAATTTAAAAACGTACGTTTTCATGTCCCTGGCCTTTTACTTCGTAGATACTGGATTTGTAGTTTATTATTATGTGTTTTAATATTTTTTGGGACGGGGGCAACATGTTACACACATTCATTTGGTTTTAAATAGGTTCTAGGTATTTTTTTCGTATTTTTAAAGTCTCGAAATTCACGACCATGACGTGTCCCTAGGGAACATTTTCCAACTTTCACGCTGTTTTTAGACTAATTATTCATGCTGAAATATATAAAGCCATATTTTTATGTCATCAATGGTTATTAAACTTACAAAAAAGGAGCATATTATAATTTTGTTGTCATTACAAACTGACTACCATGACAAAATAAGTCTGTCCCTCGATTTGGCGTCACGACCATTTGGGAAAAATTTTCAACTTTGGAGCGCGACAGTGGCAAGCCTGGCGTCGATGGAGTCAGTTGGTTTTAGAGACTAGTTCGGGGTGTATGTCAGGATTGTAGTGCCGGTCGTTTCGAGTTGAAAGGAGGAATTACAAGATTAATAAAGGAAAGATTGTGTTTTTTGTAATTTTGGTGTGTCCATGACCGTACGTAGTCATTCGATGAAGTAGACATGGTGTTAATTTTTGTTTATAAGATATTTCAATTGCTAGATTAACCTAGAAGTCCACTTTGTATCCTCGAACATGAGGTGCAGGGCTACCGCCAGAACAGAGCCAAATAACACGTAATTTCACGACCAAAGTTTCACGACCATCGCGGGTTTTTTCACGACCAATCCAGCCTTATGGATTATAGTGTGTTTGGTCGTGACAATAACTTTAATATAATTGTAAATTGAACAGTTTAGTTCAATTGAAACACATATTTTTATTATAACTAACAGGATAATTGAAGGATTGTTTAGAAAGATTTAGATTATTCCAGATAATTCACGACCATACCGCTTGTCCCTGACCATCACGTTTATGATTTCTATCATAAAAATTTCAAAAATTAAAATATCGTCATATTTCAATGTTTTATACACAAAAGAAGCACACCTCTATACAAACATAACGATTTTTCGGGTCTCAGGTAAGTTTTTTCGGAGTTATACAAACTTAAAAAGATTTTATTGGCTTTTTTTCAATTTTTTGAGTTTTTTTATTTTTTTCTAGAAAGACCAAATATACCAAAAGCTCAGTGACCTTTTTATTGTATAATGGTCATAAAAGTAAATAAGTTTATAGCAAAACATAGTTATAAAAATAATATTAACTGTTTTTAATATTCATTTAAACGTCCGTTATGGTCGTGACAGGATTTTGTGTTTTTCCACTAAAGATGCTCTTTTAAAAAGAAACTACCAAAGATATTGCGTTACCATGGGCATTTTATGAAACTTCAAATGTTAATGAAATAAAAATAATAATAAAAGTTTTGAAAAAAAGGGGAAAAGAATTTGCAAAGTGCTTTTCCTGAAAACGTACGTTTTTAAATTTTCACTCGTATGCGGAAATGATCAACGTGACCATGATGCAAACTTAGACAAATTTCTTGAAGCTGTCAAGAAATATGGCCTTACTATTAATGAGAACAAAAGCAGGTATTCGCTAAAGTCAATAAACCTCTTGGGATATGAGATAAGTAATAAAACCATCCGGCCCGATCAAGACAGACTGAAACCATTACAGAATCTACCGCTGCCTACAGACACTGCTTCACTGAGAAGAACTATAGGTATGCTGTCTCACTACTCAAAGTGGGTCCCCCATTACTCAGAAAAAGTCCATTGTTTAATACAAACTAAAACGTTTCCAGTTTCATCTCAGGCTGCCACAAGCTTTGAAAATCTGAAGCAAGAAATAATCAAATCAGCTATTTCTGCTATTGATGAGGATATCCCCTTTGATGTTGAAACTGATGCATCCGAGCATTCAATTGCAGCAAGCCTTTCCCAGAACGGTCGACCTGTTGCATTTTTCTCAAGAACCTTATCATCAAGTGAACAAAGACACTCTGCTGTTGAAAAAGAAGCTTATGCTATTGTCGAAGCTCTGAAAAAGTGGCGACATTTCCTTATTGGTCGACACTTCAAACTCATTACGGACCAAAAATCTGTGTCCTTCATGTTTGATAACACCCACTCAAGCAAAATCAAGAATGAAAAAATACTTAGATGGCGTTTGGAGCTTGCATGCTATAGTTATGACATTATTTACAGGCCGGGAAAACAAAATAATGTTGCTGATACCTTATCCCGAGTCTGTGGATCAACCAATTCAAACAAGCTGCATCAACTGCATGCTCAACTTTGTCATCCAGGAATCACAAGGATGGCACATTGGGTGAGAAGTCGGAATTTACCATACTCCTTGGAAGAAATAAAGAGAATGACTGCTTTGTGTCCCACCTGTGCGGAAATAAAACCTCGTTTTTACAGACCTCAGGAAACAACTCTTATAAAAGCAACTGCTCCATTCGAAAGGTTGAATATAGATTTCAAAGGACCATTGCCAACAAATTCTAAAAATAGGTACTTGCTGACTATAGTAGATGAATTTTCACGCTTTCCATTTGCGTTTCCGTGCCAGGATATGACGACTAACACAGTGATAGAAAAGCTATGTAATTTGTTTTGCTTATTCGGTCTGCCTTCTTTTATTCACACTGATCGAGGCGCATCATTCATGTCAAGAGAACTAAAAGATTTCTTAAACTCTAAAGGTGTAGCGACAAGCCGAACCACGCCATATAACCCACAAGGAAATGGTCAAATCGAGCGGTATAATGGTACAATTTGGAAAGCAATTACACTATTGTTAAAAAGTCGCAATCTTTCAGTACATAATTGGGAACTTGTATTAAATGATTCCCTGCACGCTATTCGTTCGCTTCTATGCACAGCCACAAACCAGACTCCACATGAACGGATGTTTATTCATTCGAGAAAATCCTCCAACGGTCAGTCCTTACCAACTTGGCTTCTTGAATCCCAAAAAGTATTATTGAAAAGAAATGTTAGACAAAGTAAATATGATCCATTGGTTGACGAAGTTGATCTGATTGACGTTAATCCTAACTACGCAACAATACGACTAACAAATGGAGAAGAAAAGACAGTCTCTCTTAGACAGTTGGCTCCAAGGGGAGACATTGAGCTCACGAACCGTTCTGAAGAGTGTACGGAGCAAAGTGTAGATGAACCTGAGCTTGCTGACATCAGGGAAGAATGTCATTTGACCATAAATGAAGACACCATCTCTCAGACAAAACAACAGCAACTGAACACACATGTTCAGTCACTCCCAACTGTCTATCAATCTCAACCAAACACCAACCAGACCAAAGCTGACCAGTTGAATAGTTTAAGTGATGGTCAAGCAACACTGAGGCGAACATCAAGAATCAGATATCCTCCAAAATACCTGAAAGACTATTCTCTATCTAGGAGGGGAGAATGTAGTGAATAAAATCTACAGTCAATGATAAATACAACTAAACTTAACTCACATGATTAATTATTTAATATGTTTACTGGCATATGTTATTAGTAAATACTCAGATTTGCTTATATTCCATTATTGTTCATAGTTCAGTTTTCAGATGAATAAAACCCTTTATTCTGATTACAATTAATCTGGGGTTTTCTTTCATTACAAACTGCAAACTTTCGTGGTCCGAACTTCAGGAATAAAACACTGTGTAGTGCAGTAAAAGATGGTAGGCTCACTTTAGCTGAGATCGGCTGATTCCTAGAGAAGACTAACACTATTTTGTATATGAAATAAATTAACACGAAGGTAGGTTTGTGACCCATGATTTTTAGACCCTGTACCTATGTAAATGTCAATGATATGCAACCCACCTTTGGTCTGGTTGGTGGTAGTTTGGAAGACTCTATAATAGGTACATGAGCCGAGCGTTTCTCCCAGGATGAAAGTGCTCCACTTAGTCTTGTAAGTTCCGAGGCTGAAAAACAAGTAAATAATTAAAATATTAACTTGTTATTGTTGCAATGACATTGTGAGTTTAGTTTTACATTGCCCCTCACCTTTTATAACATTTTGTTTTCTATTTTTGAAGGTGGGAATGTATACCATGTGGCAGATAGATATAAAGGAATCAGGGGCATAAGCAATTTTGATAATTTATTTTAATACCATTTCAATTGTGCAAGTCTAACTCCTTACGCTCCCAATTTTAAACAAGAAGACTGGCTACATGATTACGAGCTGGTTTTATGAAACAGAACAGAACAATAAGCAACTCCCCTCCAGTGGATTCAAGATTTGACGTAGTTTCAAAGGATTTATGCCTAAAGAGTCAATAAGGTTCAGGAAAATAATTATACACAAGGGATAAAGGACACACTAATATTGGTACAGCTTGTTTTTCCTCACTATTCTTCCGAAATTTAGTAAAGCAAATCAGAGAGCCATCGTAACAATGAAAGAAAATTATCAATGGTTTTTGTTCCATCATCTTATTGTTTTTAGCGAATTTCCCATATAGGGAATAAGCTATTACCGTGGTACTCATGGTAAGACCTGGACGCGGGACCGATTTTTTTTTCGTTTTGAGGTCCCTAGAGGCCAAAAACACCATCCGTTCAAATTCATATATATATATTATTGCTGTGTTCCGAGTCAATTGAGTATGATTGGCAAATATTTTTCACCGCACTACGATGTTTTAGTAGTTTTACAGACGTTAATTGGGGGCTGAAAGCTACGCATTGCTGTCCAGGGTCGAAATGGTAGCTATAGTTGTAATTAAAATTTTCCAACCCTAGTACTGTACCGAAAATCGCTTATTTAATTAAAACATTTATATATATTATTAAATATACAAGCAGTATATCCTTAATGAATTGCAATAGACCGCTGCCTAGTAATTATGTACTACTATTTTTGCTGATTCCTTTAAATATTTTTTCACATAACCTTAAAGTGTTTGCATTGATTAGAGTGCATTGCTTATAGTTTACAATGGATTTCCCAGTGAACAATGAACATTGAAGTGTAAAATGAAGTTGAGGTCCAGTGGTTGAAAACTCGACCAAAAATATGCAATGTACAGACTTCTCTATTTAACTTACACAGTAAATAATACATGCGATTGGAATTTTTTCCATTTCAAACAAACTAGAGAAGCTAGTTAAACTATATAAACTAAATTTGATACTGAGCTGTGTACACTGGCTATGTAGTCTGCAACTAAACTAATATTGCAATATTGTTCGTGACTAATACCATACAAAAACAGTTCATTATACTAAATTACTTGTTTTTGTAAACTCTGAATTTACTTATTTAAGATAATTGTTTTAAGTTGTTGTTAAAGCTAGTTAATGTTAGTTTTCTATAAAGAGGTAGAGTTTAAGTGGAAAAAACAATGATAGCAGATCTTGACAAGAAATAAGGAAAACCAAAGTGTAACATAGATAAGGACTGACTAAGGGACACAGTACATTGTTCAAGAACAGGGTTTTCTCAATGAGCTGCAAACAAGCCAAATTGTCCTGGCTTTTGTAGCTAGTTGTTTATATAATTTTTTTTAAGATTGTATGATTTTTAAAGAAATTAAATAAATCCCTTAAACTGGTGACAAGTTGAAGGGGAGATACAACTAGCCATAGGTACAACTAGACGTAGGTACAAGTAGGCGTAGGTACAACTAGTCGTAGGTACAAGTAGTCGTAGGTACAAGTAGTCGTAGGTACAACTAGTCGTAGGTACAAATAGACGCAGACGTATGAGGTACAAGTAGACGGTGGCGTACCCGACTAGTTGTACCTCCAGATTTTTAAGAGGTACAACTAGACGTAGAGACAACTAGACGTAGGTACAACTAGACGTCCGCACCATCGTCAAGTTGTACCTACATCTTTGGACGAGGTACAACTAGACGCCTGTCACCAAAATGCAGCAGGTACAACTAGACGCCCGTACAAGTAGACATCGCCCCGTTGCGATTTGGGGGTCGGTGGTCGGTTATGGGGGGGGGGGGTTGTGTGGACGGGAGGGTAGCGGGTCACTATCTTCTACACGCCACACGGACACGACACTACTAAAGACTGGACTCCGCACCAATGCACGCGCAGTGGCAAACTTCTCTACCTATGGATGTAGGCTAGAGCCGCACATATCGATCTAAAATGCTCTTCATATTTAGATTATCGCTTGTCTTTGGGGGACGACCAGAACGATTAATCCTTAGGAAACAATTTTCGATTTTAGATTAATATAGGCCTAGAATTTTTTATTTATAAACCTAGTTCATAATATTATCATTATATTCATATAACATAATAATATTATGTGTATTATTTTACTGACAAGTAATTGTTGTACTGTATAAGTTACAGTGAAATTATCTATATTTGGATTGGATTTTTTTTTGATATTACAATTAACAAATACCCCCACCGCAGCAAACTTGCAGACTATACAACATTTCCATTTACCAGTATTGGATTTTAAATTTAACCTATTTAAATAAAATTCGTTTCAACTACCTATGTTTGCTGCTATATAAGTGTAATATAATGTGTTTGTAGTGAAATATGAATAGCTTAGTATAAAATAAATTAATTTGCCAAGATTGATCAAAACATATCCAAAAACCAGCAAATTACAACAGTATACTAAATTCTTCATAAGAATAATATGGAAACTTTGAATTTTCAATTTATTAAATTTCCTCAGTAACCAATAACCGCACAAAACATAAAACCGTAGATAAAAAGAATTAAATAGTAAAACTGAAAGAGGACTGTTACAAACTAATGCATGTCTTATTTCTGATTTAAGGTGGATCTCATTGACATGCAGTCAGAGCCTGACGGTGAATATAAGTTCATCCTTAATTATCAAGATCATCTCACCAAATTTGTTGTTTTGCGTCCCTTGAAAACGAAAACCGCTGATGAAGTATCCGACGTCCTTCTGGACATATTCTGCTTATTTGGCGCCCCATACATTCTACACAGCGACAATGGGCGGGAATTTTGCAACCGGGTGAGTAAAACAAAACAAAGTGCTAAATAACATCTATGAATAATATCTTGGTCAGCATCGTACGTGTTATTAAATCATCTGAAAAACAAACAAATTATACGTCTTATGATTCAACAGTATAAGTGTCAATATATTATTACTAGTGTTATTAGACGTATAATTTTTTTTCAAATAATACCTTATAAAATAATTAAAACTAGCTTCTTCCCCGTCTGATGACATGGCGTTCCACCTGTTTGGTTCAAAATCGTCGTACTGAAAAAAATAATTTAATTTTTATCATTTCAGGTTTTTAATGTCAAAACAAGTTTCAAAAATCTGTAAATAAAATAAATAAAAGTAATTTGTCATTCCGGCTATCTATTGTGATGGTTTATAATATCATAATATTGTGTTGGCTTCAATCATATAATCAAGGGGGTTTAATTAGAAATGGTTCGGTTTTTCAGGTAATCGAGAACCTAGCCCGTAAATGGAGTGCCATTAAACTAGTACACGGAAAACCAAGACACTCACAGAGCCAAGGGTCTGTCGAACGAGCCAATCAAGACGTAAGGGATAGTCTTGTTGCTTGGATGGCTGACAACAACACCTCTGGCTGGGCAAATGGCCTCAAGATCATACAAAATACTAAGAACAACAGTTACCACAGTGGTATTAAGAGAACCCCGTACGAAGCTATGTTCGGCGCACCTCAGAGAAATGGACTAATAGATTCTCCTTTGACATCAGAAGTCGTGAAGATAATAACAACCGAAGAAGAACTTGAATATGAGCTCTCTAAGCTAGAAAGCAGTTTGATTGAAGTAGAGAACGAAAAGGAAACTCCTATGGATGAAACTACACCAGAAGTCTGGCCAACGATCGTAAACAACAACAAACATAAAGAACAAGAATCTACGTCAATCGAAATAATTTCACAATGTGACAATGATTGCGACAAAGGAAGCAACTGTTTTGAATGTGGGCAGCACATCCATAATGAAGACGTGGATAGGAGTTAGACTTACCTTTGTGCACTCTCTGCTCAAGAAAAGCCGCCATTGATACTACACGGGAAAAGTGTGTAACGTCTCTAACTATCCAGGCAGAAAAAAACAGAAAAAAAACTAACCCCAGTTGCGGTTGGAGACAACGTGTTGGTGAGCATTCCTGACGTCGACCGGGGACGACTAGCTCCTAGAAATGTAATGGCAGTTGTTGTAAATAAGGCCAATGATTACTACACTCTTGGCACAAGGCATGGGGTTCTGGACAAACAGTTTGCGAGAAATCAATTCCAGGTGGCACCAAATAAATTTCTTCGCCCCGAGGATGTACCCGATGACCAAGTTAACGTAAGAAAAGAAGCGATGATGTCATCCGGATCCAAACAAGGTTTCATAAGATGTGGTTGCAAAAAGAACTGTTTGACTAAATCATGTAAATGTATAAAGTTAAACGTGAAATGCAATTCTAAATGCCATGGCAGCACCTCTTGTGCCAATAAGTAAAAAAAACTGTAACAAGTGTAACGTCCGGCCCGAGTGGTGTAAGGGAAAAAAATTAATTAATAACTGCTGGTTGGGAGCTTGACTAAATTTATTTTTATATTAGATCACACACGACAGAAACATCAATTAAATAAATATTTGACAATTGGGGTTCACAACATATCACAAGGGTTACAATTTGGTTACGATTACTAATTTAGATTTACGATCTGGTTATGATAATACAAAATTTACATTATTTAAAATGGCCTAGCGGACGGACGAGCTACTGCGTAATTAACACTTCTACATCTCACGCGCAACTGCTCAAAAACCGACGCAATGCTGAAGGCCTGAGGTGTCTCAGCCAATCAGAGCGTCGGATTTGGTCGAGGCTAGTGCCGTTGACCGTGCTGATGTCGGCAAGACGTACATTGTCCGAGGCTAGATCGCACTATTCCAGCTTCATAACTTTGCTCCCAATTATAATAGAATAATTTGATTTCGGTCTTTGGCTCTCGGAAGAAATCAACGAAGGGCTGGCGATGCTTCCTGATGTTATGGAGTATTGTTTGGCTTATTGTTAATTAGTCACAGCCGCCAAAAAAGCTTGTGATTATTGGTTGTCAATAATCTTATAATAAATACATATTCCAAACTATCCCTCAAATTTGCTGATGGAATATTAATATAATGCAAAGAGGGGCGGGTGTGACACACCCCCCACCTTAAGCCAATGCTGCCCCCAGCATGGGAGTATGACGTTCTTATCTCCTGCAGCACGTTGTTCCATAGTATAGTCGGCTCAAATGTGGAGCCAGTGCGAGCCTTATTAGACCGAAATCAAATCGTGGGGAAAATCGGAGTGGGCGCGCGCCACGTCATCGCTTTTTACAGGGAATATTTAGTGTTATTATATTTCTGTATTATTTTCTTTTTTTTCATTTTTTTTCTTTTATTTAGCTACGAGTACCGGTATGCGCTGCGTAGCTCGTTCCGCCTCGCTATTACACACTCAACTTAATTTCAGTACGGTTCCATTACATTCCTCATATTACACAAATACAATTTCGTTAATTTATTAAATAACAGAGAACATCTCCCATCACTTATTATCAAATTACGCAGTTCCTTAACGACTAAATACAGAACTTAAACTATACAATGCTATGAAACCTTCCTTGAACTTGACTCCACTCGAGTCAAAACATTGCGGACAGACAGCTGTTGCCTCCGTCATCACAACAAGATAAGACAAGGACTGCTGAACCACACCACTTGTTATCTCTAGCGCCCAGCCCGCGCAGGGGGAACGCTTGCTTGAGTTCAACCATTATGTTCTTACAGCTTTTGTCTTTATTTATATTTATTTTCATTTTTTTTATATATTTTATTTATTTATTTTATTCTAATTGCTAACCATTACTTATTCCGATACCCGTGGTGGGACTCAGCAATCATGAAGAACACGCTACGTATCTAAACTTATTCCCTAAACAAAACCCGGCCAATACAGGCTAACAACAACAACAACAAAAAGTTAAATACAGCAAATTTTACATGACACTGCCACTACGGCATTCCGTTACAACATTCTCATTATGGCACGCTTGCTCAATAATCGTTTAACTGCCAGGCACATACCATTATTTGTTTATTTTTTTTTTGTATTAAGCAAAAGGATTATTATTTATGTATTTTTTTTTCCTACCCGCTTAGGGTTGTAATCAATCAAGGTCGTAAGAAGTAAATCACTGGGTTGGAGATTAAGTGTTAATTTTGAACGCTAATCACTCGATATGGTGAAGCCGCACGAGCTTTCACTTGGGGTCGGTCCATTACTCAGTCACCCCTGCAGATAAGAAAGGTAAGTGCCTGGAGTTACCCGTCCCATACTCACTCTAGCTTCGTCAAGTATTACCACTTCCACTTATATTCAGATATATGTTTGACTACCCAACATTAATCTACCGTTATCACTTTCTGTCTGAGAGACTCAATGAACCAATTATTGATAGAACAACAAAAGAACGTTACATCATTATCAGTCCCCTACCATGGTCTCCCAAAAACTTGAACCATAACAATACATACATAATATAAATCACCCTACCATGGTTTCAAAGAAAAAAAAAGACTTATTACATAACATTACATACATAATATAAATCACCCTACCATGGTCTCAAAGAAAGAAAACGAATTAGGGCGCCCTGTATTTCCCTAGGTAAATCCTTACATACAAAAGAAAAGAAATTCTTATAATTTAATTCTCTTTCAACAAAGAGTCACTGACCCTCCTTAGAGCGGTCTGTCCCGTTGTCGCGGCTTTAACTCCTCGGTACGGTCGCACTCGACGCACTTCCGCGTTGTCCATTTCGTCTTGACCGAACCGACGCGCACGTAAAAGAACGTAAGTCCGAATAATCACGGCATCCTTTGCAGTGATTAGGCTGTAGTCTTACCGGTGATTGAGGTACTTACAGTCACCTCTGGGGCTGCAGTCCCCTCGTCCGAGTCAATAGTTTGAGTAGCTACTCCAGTCTCCACATCAGTCTCGAGATCTCTCAGGCCAGCAAACGTCAGTGGCGCTCTGGTCACGGTCACAGTCCCCCTCACTCGTCTGCTTGGCAGGGAACGCCTGAGCCAGGCGGCAACCACGCTCCAGTTCCTGAAAAACACACACAGCAGTACAAGGCTCACCACAATAGTTATCACAAGTGTTGCTCCTAACACATTCCTCTGCATTGCGTCCCTATATTCGTGGTGGGACCGTAGCCGTACGAGGGCACTCTCCAATGGGTACTCTCGCACGTCAACGGGGCCCAGCTCATCGTCAAGCCCTTTCAAAACTTCCAAGGCAACATTCACATCCTTATCTATCAGTGTGGTCTCTACCGGAGAGAACATGGAATCTAAGTCAGGGATTATGAGCTTACTGTTCTGCATCACGCGGCCGCTGCTGCCGTGTACGCGGGCAGGCAGCCTGAATTCATCGCTTATAACATCGCACTTGTACACCTCACTGATAACTCCTTCGCCTAGCAGGATTTTGGTGGTCACATTCACGCGTCCCGCACCTTCATAACAGTTCAGAGTTACCTTGTAGGGCTCTGAAGCACTGTACACCCAGTGGTTGGGAGTTCTCAGAAACACCGGGGAGTGTAGGCCGGTTATCAACCTTCTTTCGCATCGAGGGGATAACTTTCCAATAAATAAATCTGATACACAACTCGGCCGTTTGGCCACACTTTTAATAATTTCCTCTAGCGGGCACACAGAGAGTGGCCCACTAAGACATTCACGGTCGAATTTGGAATTTGTGTACAATGTGTAGTAAAGTCGGTCTTTGCTCACGAGCAGTTTTTGGTTCTCTATATTCCATTGCGCCCATTTTTGGAGGGTTTGATTATACACCGGATAACTGTAAGATTCGTATACCTGGAACAATCTGTCGTCTCGTTTTAAAGGGAGCTGAAGAACAACCCTAAGGGTTTGCTCTGAAACATAACTGTGGGCCGTCGTGACCGAATAATACTCGTGAATGCTTTCTAAATCCAAATTTGAATGTAATTTATATGGAGGGGGTACAACCTTTTCTACTTCTCGCAAAATTGTAAGAAACTCCGTCGGGGAGAGTAAGTCACTGCTCACTTTACCTTCACCTAATTTCTCTATTGCCCTATGAAATTGAGTTACTTTACGAATGGCTTCAGATACCGTGCTCTTGGTTTCCGAGATTGCAGAACTTAGTTTTAGGTAACTAAGCAAATCTGTAATTTGGTGTTGGACTGCCCGATCTTTGTGGAAAAGCCTACTGATTGTTGAATGCATCAAAGCATGGTAAGTCTTTATGGATGATATTACACTATTGAGAGTCTTTGAATGGTTTACAATTTCAGATTGCAAATTATTTATAACAGTTACTTGCTCTCGGTCGTTGTGAACAATGGTAGCCGTGGTATTGAACAAATATGCAGCTTCACCATTAATCATTTCTAGGTCAGAGCTGTCCATGGTTCCAAAAAGATATTTTAAAACGTGGCCACCTGCGTCCACAAGGCCACGCTTAGCTCGCCACTTGGGGAGCAGTGTCAGCAATACATCTATCTGTGCTGTATATTCCTGAACGTTTTGTTGCAAGATTTTGAATTCATACCTGAAACCGTTCTCCAATTGTGGGAGTTGTGAGTGAATACTTACGTTATCGTGTAGTAGTTGAGTATAGAACTCATCCAGATACAGTTTTACCTTTACTATCAGTTTGTTGAGATCGTCACCTTGCGTCCGCATGTCGGTAACATTATACTTTAATGCCACCCTCCAATGGCTGTCAGTGAGCAGAACCTCCTGTCCTCCTTCGAAAACGACGCCCTGATGGAAGCAGTGTACTGCCCCGAATGTTAGCAAAATGTACCCTATAACAGATTTTCCACTAGGTTAACAAGGTCCTTGTATTGCCTTACACATTTATTCCGGACCCCTACCTCCCCATGCTTCCCTAATAGCCCCCCCTTCCTCCCTTTTTTTTT